GCTCCCCCCAAAAAAAGAGTGTCATTCATGCTTCAAAGCTAGAATCACGTGTCTGTCTGTTAGATCTAGATCAGCTACAAAAAAACAATTCCTACAAAGATAAACACCAGCCACTCAGGACTCCCTTTAGCTTCCCAGCCACCCCACTCATCCTCCTGGCCAGCCCATCACTTCACACCCTCCATTACAATCTCCTATCCCAAACCTGGACCTGGGTTGCTGCTTTTCACAGCTGCAGCTGTCCACTATTGATTTATCACCTCTGGGCCTCTTCTTAAGCCAAGGTTAAACTGCAATGTCCCTGCACCCGTGCCAGAAACCTATCCATCAACCACTCACATTCCTATTACCCAATCACTGTCTAAGATATAAGCTCTTACCATATTTCATCGTCCCTCTCAGAACTAGTTCATCCTTTCCCCTATAAGCTCCTGCTCTCCTTGGAAACTGCAATGTGCTACCTGAACCCCCAGCATTCTCCCTACAGCTCTCTCCAGAGAGCTCACCCTCCCACACCCAAGCAAGATCAGAGTGCTGACTGGGCACCCTCTCTGTTCCCCACAGTAGGTTCCCAGATGCTCCTCCTCTGCTCCACAGCAGAAGCCCTTGTCCACTGAGACTCCTGTAGCCATCCAGATGACAGTACCATCTCCTACTCACACCAGGATATAAATGGAAGACTCTGACCCTAAGTCAAAAGTCTTCCTGTCCACCATTCCGTGTATACGCAACATTTTCTTTTTAAGTTTGCAACAGGCACATGTGCTCACGGGGAGAGAGAGAGAGAGAAACTGAGAAATCACCTCCCAGGGGGATGGCCATGCTACAATCCCTTCTCCTCCATTCTCCTCTAAGGAGTTTGGACACACACATAAACATGCCTGGCGTGTTTTTCAAGCCACTGGGTGTGGGACTCAGATCACACAGTTGGCCATGTGGGATCCAGCCAACTTTACCACCACCACCTCGCTGACCCTACGTTCAACATTTAAAGAAAGGACCCATCTGCCATCTGATGACTTTTTCTAAGCCACTTAAGCCATCTACTCCAGCGACTGGTCATACACTGAGTTTTGTCAATGTGCAAAACCACTCCAGCTGTGAACAACTGCACCATGCCCTTCTGACAACAGCTTCCTTTCCAGCGTAAGCCCTCCCTCGATCGTTCCCATCACACTTACCCCACCACTGAAATCTCCAGGCCACTTTTTCCTTGCCATTGTCTCCTTTCCACACTCCTCACTGCACAGCTAGAGGGCTTTACAATTTAACTACTGTTTCCTATAGCCTGAATTGTCTTGTCTCTTTTTCTTTTGTTTCACCTGCTTACAAGTACCAAGCTCACATTAAAACCAATTCTCTGGCTCTTCTATACCTGCATTAAGCATGATAAACACTGAATAAGATAGTAATATGGGGCCAGCTGGGGGTGTGGTGGTGAAGGCACTGGACTCCCACGTGGCTGAATGCAGTGCAAGTCCCAGACCTGGTGGCTTACTTTCTCACTCTTTTTCTGTCTTTGTCTCTTTGTTGAATGCGTGTGTCCTATTGCAAATCGAGGAGTTGGGACCAGCAGTTGGCATAAAGGCTATGTTGCTGGACTCCCATGTAGTCGACTGCAGTTCGAGTCCTGGACCCGGTGTCTTAAACTCATGCTGGGCACATGTGCGTGCGTGCTCAAGATCCCGAGAGGAGAATGGAGGAGAAGGAATTGCGGCATGGCCATCCCCCCTGGGGGGTGATTTCTTGCTTTCTGTCTCTGTCTCTCTCTCTCTTTCTGGCAAGTACCCACGCCCTATAGCAAAAACCTCTCCAAAAAGAAGAAATAGTAATAATAATATATAAAATTAAGTATATAATTCTAAAAAAGATAACAAAACACAATTATTATTAAAGCTATTAAACTCATGATTCTCAACTTCAAATAGATAGCAATCTTACTGAGTTTTCCTAGCCAGCCTATTCTCCCACTCACCACTCTTTCAAGTCTTCTGACACGTCTCAAATCCCTGAATTTACCTACTAACTATATTCAACATATGACTGTTCCTGTTTCAAATGAGAACTCCTTCAACTTACAACCAAATCAGCAAATCCATTGACATTCTTCGTTGGATTTGCTCTAGGACACATGTGTTCACTGAAGAGACACAGAAAGACAGGGAGAAGGAGGAAAAGGACCACCGAGGGAGGAAGGCCTTGCTTCTCCTCTACTCTCCTCTTGGGATCTTTGGGCATACACCCAGTATGGTTTTCAAGCTGCCAGTTCAGGGACTCAAACCACACAGTTGAGCACGTGGGATCCAGTGTCTTAACCTCTATGGCACCTACTGCCCCCCTCTGCTGACATTTGCACTCTCCATTTTTCCTTACCTCCTCCCCACTCTTAAATCCCTCTGGACTACTAGGGGCCAGCAGGTGGCATAGAGGTTAAGGCAGCTGGATTCCATATCCTAAGGTACAGAGTTCAAGTTCCGGACAATGGAGATTGGGCACGTGTATGTGCAGGGATTGCAGAGTGGTCACCTTCCCTGGGGGATCATGCTTTCTCCCTCCCCTGCTCACCCACCTTCTTTGCCTCTCTCCAGACAGTTTTGTGTTGTAGCAAAACTTAAGACAAAAAAGAAAAATTCCTCTGCTTTCCACGCCATTTCTTGCTCTCTTTCTGGGGTGTGACACTATCTGCTACTCTAGAAAATGTAGTCAAGCTCTATCACTAAATCCAAGGTGTGTTCTAAGTGCTGTCTTATTTGATCCCTCAGGACTGTTAACAGAGTCAATCTCCCATGGTGGACCATGGTTCAAATCCCAGTCTCAGCAGTTTAAAAAACATGCCATCCACATGTGTGTGTGTGTGTGTGCCCAAAGTCTCAACAGGATGAGAACATGGAGAAGGGACTGAGGTGTGAGCACACTTCATCAGGGAGTGTTTTCTCTCTCCCTCCCTCCCTTTCTCTCTCTCTCTAGTGAGTACACATGCTCTGTGGTAACTGGGAAGAGACAAAAATTGTTGACATCTTCCTTCTTGAGCTCTGGCTGACACCATGGTCCTGACTTTCCCGTTCTGATCCAAAGCTCTGATAAGTCCTCCATGAGCTCACTGGCCAGCCCCTTCCCTTCCTAACGTGAATCTCCAATAGGGACATCATCAGGGCTTTGCTAAGTTTCTAGCCTCACTCTCTACTCTGCCTTTTTAATGGTGAGTGCACGCACCCTATAGCAAAAACCTCTCCGATAAATAAGTAAGTAAGTAAATAAATAAATAAGTAAATTGTGCTAGCCATGTGTGTGCGTGGCCAAAATCTCAAGAGGAGAATGGAGAAGGGACTGTGGCGTGACCATGCCCCCAGGGTAGTGATTTCTTGCTTTCTGTCTCTTGGGTGAGGGCACATGCCCCCATAAAAAAAAAACACCCCAAAAAAAAAAAAAAAAAAAAAAAAAACTAACCTTACCACAAAGGTATTAAGTGGCAAGGCCACATTTTGAACCAAGGTCTTTTTCCAAAGTCCACATTCTCAATTACCAACCAAAACTGCCAACTGCTTTCGCAACGTGACCTCATTTTACTCTTTTTCCTATTTTTCTAAGTTTTCGACATAGGGCACATGCATTCTCTGGGGGTAGAGAGAGAGAGACAGACAGACAGACAGTGAGAGGAAAAGGGAGAAAAAGCGAGGCCACCCCTGGGGGATGGCCACACCACAAGCTCTTTTCCTGAGATTCTGGGCAGGCTGCACAAGCACCCAGTGTGAGTGTCAAGCCACTGGGTATGGGACTCAAACCAGGGTCAGTCAAGTGGGATCCCAGTGCCTTCACCACTGCACCACCTGCTGGTCCCTCACTTTACTTACAGTCTCAGTTCCAGTTACCCCACTCTTTGCCATGCTCTGTGTCTGAATCTCCTACTGAGCCGTTTTGCTAAGTACACACCTTTTTCTCTCAGTTCTGATCTTTTACATCTGATCTTTTATCTTCCTAGCCTGTCCCTTCTCCCTTTCTGTCCAACGGGCGAACTCCTACCAGTCTGTGAAAGCCTGGCTCAAGGACTCCGTCTTTCCTGGGCCTGTCCTTCCAGCCTCGTGCAGAAGCAGTCAGTTACCCTCTTCTCGGCTCCCAAAGCAGCGTCTGCCATGCCTCCTGCACAGCACTTGTCCAGCGCGCGACACATCTGCTCACGCGGTACTCACACGAGCGAGATAACTGGGAGTGAGAGCTCTCGTCTCAGAGGTCTGTGTACTCCCAGTACCTACCGCAACACCTAGGTGTCAACCAACCAGATAATCGCTGACTCCAGGAGACTATGCAGCTGTCGGACACTACTACACTGATACATGCAGATTAGGTGGCTTCTGCACACACGTAGCAGGTAGTGTGATATGTATGAAGGGATGAAAAAAAGGTGTGTGCCTCGGACTCCGGGGTCCCTTCCACAGCCAGCACCTTGAGCATTCCAGCTTAGACACCATTTTACGGTAATGATGTGCTTTTGAGTATGCAGCTGTTATCAAAGTCTTCATACAAATACACTTTGTCTTCCACACTGTATGTATAAACTCTAACTGCACCCACTGGGATCATTCTAACGAGGATCAGTACCTAGCGTGGTGCCCAGCACGTGCCATTCTTTAAAGTTTTTATATTAAAATCAGTGTATTTTGGAACCAACAGATGGTGTGATGGTTATGTAGCTGGACTCTCACATAGTGTCGAGCAGTTGCAGTCCTGGACCCAGTGACTTAAAATTCATACTGGGTACTTGTGTCTGTGTGTCCAAAATTCCAAGAGGAGAATGGAGGAGAAAGGGTTATGGCATGGCCATCCCCGTGGGGGGGGGGATGATTTCTCACTTTCTGTCTCTGTCTCTCCGGTGAGTATACATGCCCTATAGCAAAGATCTGTCTCTTAAAAAAAAAAAAATCAGTGTATTTCAAAGTTAGCAATTATTTCCAGCAGAGTAAGTTCACCCCTGGCAATTTGAAATGCATGTTTATTCTGCTGACCTACGTCCAACTGCTCTCCTGAACAAACTCCTGAGCCCACTAAAACAACCCACGGCGGGTTCAGGGCCGAAGACTCAACCAACATGTAAGTGCTAGATGCAGGCCAGCCACTGCACTGAGCTTCTTCAAGCACTGTCTCAGCAGGCAGTACAGGATCCAGAACTCAGCTACAAACGATGCACAAACAACATTAATATCTGTAAGTCAGCCTCAGCTGCTCCAGACAAACCTGATTTATAAAACATAAGAGAAAAATGTTACAATCCTACACTGTTCATTATACTGCATTTTATAGTTAAATATACTAAAAACACTATAAGAAGTATTAAAAGTACATATCAGATACATGATAGAGTATCTCCTAAAATCTTACCTTCTGTAATAGCTAAATATTAAACACAATTGTACTAATAGTCTTCAAAGTAATTCATTACAAAATATTTTAATTTTATGGGACCAGCAGTTAGTGTAATGGCTATATCACTAGACTCCCATGTAGTAGACCGCAGTTTGAGTCCCAGACCCGGTGGCTTAAAATTCACACCGGGTGTGTGTGCGTGTGTGCCCAAGATTCCAAGAGGAGAATGGAGGAAAAGGGATTATGGCGTGGCCATCCCCCATGGGGGGTGATTTTTTCACTTCCTATCTCTCTGTCTCTCACACACCCTGTAGCAAAAGCCTCTCCCAAAAAAAAGAAGATTTTAATCTTAAACAATAATCCTTATTAGAGGTGAAAAGAGACAATTAGCAATTATAAATTACAGAATATTTAAAAGTAAAAACATATAAAATAATAAGAAACTGAAACAAAAAAGTCCATTAAGCACAATAAATTAACCTCAAGCAAAATACTGGTAAATATTCAATTTCACAATTCTTTTTTTTGGAGAGGTTTTTGCTATAAGGGAGCGTGTACTTGCCAGAAATACAGGGAGAGACAGGGAGACAGAAAGTGAGAAATCACCCCACAGAGGGGATGGCCACACTGCAATCCCTTCTCCTCTATTCTCCCCTCGGGATCTTGGCACACACGCACATGTGCCCAGTAATTTCAAAATTCTAAAGGTCAGAGCAGAATTTGCTAAAATGATCATACTTTAACTTACAAATCATTAAGAATAATATCAATATTTTTGTCTCATAAGGTTAAATGTTAATTCTGATATCTTTTAAAAACCTTGATAGATAGCAAATATTATTCCAACATGTTTTGAATATACTACGATCTAGTTTAATAATATGTTAGCATCCTCCACTAAAACTTTTTTTTTTTTTTAAGTTTTTGCCATAGGGCATCTGTGCTTACTGGAGAAAGAGAGAGCCGGAAAGTGAGAAATCCCCTCCCAGGGGAGATGACCATGCTGCAATCCCTTCCCTTCCCCTCCGGATTTTGGGCGGGCAGGCAGGCACGCACACACATACAGCATAATCTTCACGTCACCAGGTCTAGGACTCGAACCACTGTTGACCCTGTGGGAATTCAGCACCTTAACTATCATACCACCTGCTGGCTCCCACTAAAACATTTCCTTATGTCAGAGGTCACATGTACGCACTGGAGACAGACAGAGAGAGAGGGAGAGAGAGTCAGAGAGCACTCTCCAATGCACTATGGTCATGCCACATCCCTTCTCCACTATGTCTCCACCCCGTGAGGATTCTGGGCACATACACAGGAGCCAGGCATGTCTTCCAAGCCTCGGGGGTTGGGACCTGAACCACAGAAAAGAAAAAAAAAGAAAAGAGAAAAGAAAAGAAAAGAAAAGAAAAGAAAAGAAAAGAAAAGAAAAGAAAAGAAAAGAAAAGAAAAAGAAAAAGAAAAAGAAAAAAAGTATTTTGGGTTATTAGAATGATTTAACTTTATTTATTATAATTTTTAAACTTTGTTTATTTGTCTACTTATTTTAATTTGACCAGAGAGGGACAGAGAGAGAGAGAAAGAGAGAGAGAGAAAGCAAGAAAGCAAGCCGCCAGGTCTGGGACTAGAACGACGGTGGGCCATGTGGAAGTCCAGCGCCTTAACCACTATGCCACCTGCCAGCCCCTATTATTATCATTTTTAATTTGCTATAGGACATGTGAGCTCACCAGAGAGAGCAAGAAAGAGAGAGGAAAGTGAGAAAGCAAGCAACCAGGCCCAGGACTCAAACTGCAGCTGACCATGTGGAAATCCAGGCCCTTAACCACCACACCACCTGTTGGTCCAGTAAGCAATATTTGGATTTCTGTAAATATTAGTAGCTACTTCCTTCTGTTTTACAAAGTTAGGTTCAATTATAGCCCTAAAGGCAAGGGAGAAGACTGACGCTCCCGGGCCTCCTCTAATTGTACAATCCCTCACACCCAGCGCTCCTGTCACGCCGAGCAGTGGCACTTGGCACAAGCCACACGTCAGTACCTACTTGTCCTCCGCAGCGGCCGCACTGCGCAGGTCGGTGCCTTAACTGGGTGGCCATGAGCTGGGTGGATACTACGATAAAAATACACGTCTACACACACAGACGTAGTATATGTACTCTATACCCTAATTCATCACTTTAAGCTAAGCAGAACTTTTGAAAGAACCAAAAAAATACATACCCACCTACCTCAGATCTGTCTTAATACGTTCTTTCCTGCCACACTTGCTCATTATTAAGACATCTGGAATCAAAGTTTTGATCCTTCCCTGTTTTCTTCTTTATTTACCCTGCAGTAGAATTATAACGTTGAATTGGAAAATCAAAACGTGTTGTTTTCTAAAGTATTAAAGCCTCTCAAAAGTAAGCCAGGAAAAGTATTCTAGTTTCCATAAATAAAGCTGAAAACAATTCTACTGCTTTTTTTCAATCGTCCATCCAATTTTTTTATCTTCCCTGGGGGGGAAAAATCCATAAAACTTAAATGGCTCACTATTTCTCAGATTATTTTCTACTGATGAGAAGTCAGTGTTATCTAAATAATCTTATATACTGTTAGCAGGTATAGCTCATAGGTATCAGCTCTACTTTAACATGATCGCTTAATAAACAATGAATTTATCATGTTCTTGCATTTTCACTCCATTACAACCATTTCTTCAGCCATTTTCATCTACCTTAAATCAAAGGTCTTTTGTCAAAGAATTTTTAACTCCAAACAACTTTATCAACAATTCATTCAAAATCTTTTTGATTGCCTTAAATCCATTTAAAAACCGTGTTTAGGAGCCAGCAAGTAGCACAGTAGTTAAGGTGTTGGACTCCCACATGGGCAACTGCGGTCTGAGTCCCAGACCCAGCAGCTTGCTTTCTTACTTTCCCTCTAGTGAGTGCACGTGCCCTGTAGCCAATTTTGAAAATAATAAAATTAAATAAATCATTCTTTTTTAAAAAATAGAGATTTTTACAATAGGGCATATGCATTCACCAGAGAGACAGAAAGTAAAAATCAGCCCCGAGAGGGCATGGCCATACCAAATCCCTCCTCCTCCATTCTCCTCTGGTGCTTTTGGGCACACACACACACACACACACACACACACACACGTACACACCCAAAGTAAATTTCAAGCTGCCAGGTACAGGACTTGAACCGCGGTCAACCATGTGGGAATCCAGCACCTTAACCACTACACCACCTGCTGGCCTCATAAATAATTCTTTAGAAAATTAAAAACAAACAAACAAAAAAAAACACCTGGTTCAGACACTCTAGCAATTAACCCCCCCTTTTGTTTTACATTAAAAATATACATTTGATACACACAATGAAGTAAGATTGGCAATGAAAAAGACCAAAAGACTGTGTGGAACTTCTTGTTCTGTTTTAGAGCTGGAAAAAGGCATCATGCTCTCCCTAAGCACCTCCTAGGTGTCAATGCCAGCAACAGGGTCCTACTGAGCGGTCCCCCTAACATGCCAGGGGCAGGGCATGCTGGCCAGTCTCCAAAGGCAGACATCAGCAGGTTTGCCACATCTCATTAAGGGCACTAAGACAATGGTCATCAGCATAGGGACAATGACATGGGCAGGTATCTGAACCTAGCTGCCCACCACAAACAGAAAGCAAACCATTTTCCTCAGGGTTGAACCTCATTGTCCTATGCTAGCATTTTACACAGGGACGCTTGTCTTCCTTAGAAGGGGCCAAGCCAAGAGCCCAGGGGCCACTTATTTAGGAACGGTAAAGGGCCCTGGATCTATGCCAGACCTTGTGCACGGGCACTGCCAGGGGCTGGGACGCGCTGGGACACGATGGGACACGCTGGGACACGCTGCTCTCCAGAAGTCTGCAACTGAAGACAGAGACAAAGAATAATGATAGTATCGTCCGAACAAACCCGATGACCCTAAAACCACCAGACAGAGAAGTAACTGCTCATTCCTCCTGGAAACACGTGTTGAACAAGCCACATTCTCATGGCTCAGAAATGTGCAAGGAGAAAAAAGGTACTCAGTTACCTGCAGGTCTCAAAGGCACCCGCTTCCACCCCCACAGCCCCTGAGCGTGGAGAGAGAACAGGCCTCACGCCGAGTAAGAGACCTGACCTACTTCAGGTTGCCGGTTACTTCATTCCAAGCACAAGAAATCAGGCCCGAATCTAGTAGGTGTCCATTTGCCACCTCTAAAGTGCTCTCCAGTACTCAGCACCTGCAGCGTTTCCTGACCCCCTGAAATGCGGTCTCCCCCCCAACTACCTGGCCTGTGGTCTCCTGGGGCCCCTCTCCTAACAAAGACCGCACCCCGCCCTCCACACTCCCTCCCGGGCGACCTAGTCCATCTGGATGAGCGCCCAATCCCACTCCGGCCCAGCCTGGCCTGAGCTCCAGCTCCGACGGGCACGTGCTGGTTCCGTGTGCGCACATGCCCGGGCCCAACGCTCACAGCTACTCCAGACCCCCGCGGCTGTGCGGCCCTCTGCTGCTGTGCCCACCTCAGTGGTCACGCCAGGGACACGGCCACCCCCCCTGCGAGTCCCCTCTGTATTCCCAAGTCCTGAGGTGGCAACGCAGTCTACTAACAGGACGGGAGCGACGTGACGAGCACTGGCCTGGTGGCCTCAGACGATCACAGGTTGAGCTTCCCTAACCCCAAAACCCCAGAAATCCAAAACCCAGAAATTTCAAAGCCACAAGAGGACAATTCCACACCTGCCTGTGACAGGCTGCAGTCAGAACACGGTCAAACACAACACTGCTGGCCAAGATTACCTTGAGGCTGCGTGTGTAAGGATGCATGGAACAGAATCGGGCCAGCCGCGGGCCCTGGTTGTTACAGGAGCCAGAGCCCACATGCTGGCCTCGGCTGACTCTGGCCCCAGCAGCCTGAAAGCCACGTCGGGCATGTGGTGCACTGCCGTGGGTGCACCCAAATCCCGGTACGAGGGAGAGTTAGAGAGGACGGGGTGTGACCAGGCCCCATCGGAGAACGCTTTCTCCCCCTCGCTCGCTCGCTCGCTCTCTCTCTCAGACAAGAGCCCTCTAGCCATAAAATAAATTCTTCAATGCTTCCTCTTGCTTTAAAGATAAATATCCTAAATTCTAAGCATTCTAATCTGAGGTACGTAGCAGTGGGTTAATAAAATTTGCTGTAAAAGCATTCGGATTTTGGGCCAGCAGGCTGGGTGGTGGTTAAGGCACTGGATTCCCACACGGCCAACCACAGTTTGAGTCCTGGACCTAGCACCTTGAAAAATTGCAAGAAATAAATAAAGAAATGTTTTAAAAAGAAAAAGCACTCACATTTTAAGGTATGCCATTCCTTTCTACTACAATTTTCGAGATGCAAAACTACTTTATGTGGATTTATAAAGTAGGGGGTCTCGGTTTACTAAACATTAACTGTGTTGAAAAATACAGCTGCTTTTGGGACCAGCAGTTGACATAATAGCTATTTCGCTGGACTCCCATGTAGTCAACAGCAGTTCGAGTCCCAGACCTGATGACTTAAACTCATGCCATTCGCGTGCGTGCCCAAGATCCTGAGAGGAGAACGGATTGCAGCGTGGCCATCCCCCCTGGGGGGGTGATTTCTTGCTTTCTGTCTCTCTGTCTTTCTGGCAAGCACACGTGACCTATAGCAAAAAAAAAAAAAAACTCTCAGAAAAAAAATTAAAAAACACAACTGCTTTTTGTACTGTTGATCTCATCCCCAATTTTTTTATTTGACTTTATTTACTTATTCATTTATTTCATTTTAATTTGATCAGAGAGGGACAGAGTGAGAGAGAGTAAAAGTAAGAAAGCAAGTCACGAGGTCCAGGACTCGAACCACCATCAGCCACGTGGGAGTCCAGGGCCCTTAACCACCATGCCACCTGACAGCCCCCTGAAATCTGGTTTTAATGTCTCAGAACATACTCTTCTTGGATAGAGAAGGGTTGACTCTAATACCAACCACCCCCACAAAGGACTAAATGGTTAAGAACTCAGATGGGGTACCAGCAGTTGGTGTAATGGCTATGTTACTGAACTCCCATGTAGTCGACCACGGTTCAAGTCCTGGACCCGGTGGCTTAAACTCATGCCGGGCATGTGTGCGTGTGTGCCCAAGATCCTGAGAGGAGCATGGAAGAGAAGGGACTGTGGCGTGGCCATTCCCCTGCGGGGTGATTTCTCACTTTCTGTCTCTCTGTCTCTGTCTTTCTGGCGAGCATATGTGCCCTATTGCAAAAACCTCTCAAAAAAAAAAAAAAAAAAAGGAAATCAAATGTCTTTACTATTTTCTCATGGTGTGCTCAAAGCAATATAAAAATATTCTACGTACCCTGAAACCTACCCCTTGAATTCAGTATGTTACACATTACAGATTTCCTTAGAACCCCAAGTCACAAAGGACACTGATGAACTGTCCTATATACTATCACTACAGAACTCAGAATCTCACCAGCCAGGCCACGAGGGCATGGTGGCTAAGGCAGCTATATTCCCACATGGTCAACTGCATAAGCCAAATCCCAACCTGGCAGCTTAAAAAACATGCTGAAAATGTGTACCTGGGTGCCGGAAACCCGAAAAGGAGGAGAAATGGAGGAGAAGGGTACTGCCCCTTCTTTCGTTGTCTTCCTCCAGCAAGTGCACATGCCCTCTGGCAAAATTTTAAACACACACACACACACACACACACAAAAGAAATAGTCTCATCTGCCAAGGGACTCTTGAGCTTTTTTTGTTTGTTTGTTTGTTTGTTTTAACGTGACCAGAGAGGAACAGAGTGAGAGGAAGGAGGAAGCAAGAAAGCAAGCTGCCAGGTCTGGGACTCGAACCATGGCCAGTCACCACCAGGACATCTGCCGGCCCCATCTTGAGCATTATCTTTAGAGCAGAAAGGTATATTCTTTCTGGGTTTATCAGGAATATTAACATCTTACACTGAGTGAGAAAATGAACTCAAAAACTTGGGACCAGCAGATGGTGTAATGGTTACGTCGCTGGACTCCCACAGTTGATCGCAGTTCAAGTCCCAGACCCGGCAGCTTAAAACTCACTTTGGCAGCGTCTGTGTGCGCGTGCCCAAAATCCTGAGAGGAGGGGCTGGCAGGTGGCATGGTGGTTAAGGTGCTGGACTCCCACGTGGCCACCCACGGTTCAAATCCTGAACCTGCTGGCTTGCTCTCTCACTTTCCCTCTCTCTTTCTCTCTCTGGTCAAATTATAAAAAGCTAAGAATAGCTCTCCG